TTTGATATGTAATAGTTCTATTCAATATTGTAATACAATAACTGTATCAGAAAGTAATAAAGCAAGTAAAACCTAGAACCTAAACAATTCAGTAATAAAACAAATAATGTTTTACTTTAATGCGATACTTAGTGCAGCGGTTAATAATTAACAGATCCACATAAATAGCACCTAATTCCAATATAACAACATTTCAGTCACTGTCATCAGATTCGCTGCAGATATGTACAGTCGTGAGCATAAAAAGTGGGACACCTGACTGACAGGTCTTGTAATTTTTCGCTATTTTAGGTAAATCAGTATTTTCTCTACAATGGATTTTTTGTCAAATATGACAATCCCTGTCATAGTCGTAGGTATAGCTGATGAGCTCGTTTTACAATAGGAAAAAGCGGGTGTCCCACTTTTTATGCTCACGACTGTACATCCCAAGTAACCATGAAGCCAGCAGTCCCCTAATAATGAAAAGAAAATTTGGAATTCAGTTAATAATTAACTGATTCATTTTTTTCTTCGAGTATTCAGGAGCACTTGAATAGCACCAAATTTCTATCTAGAAACATGTCAGCCTCTGACAAATCACCAAGCAATTCAAGTAACCGTGAAGCCAGGGTGGGCCAATTTGGACACTTTTGATAGGAAACATCAATTCCTGAGCGAGATACAAAAAAATGAACCCCCCACTCTGCTTGTTGGAAAGCTCTGCTTCTGCTGATTTCGATGATATAAAGTTCGATAGGTTTATCTGCAATGGTTTCGGAGAAAAAAAATTATTTCGATTTTTGTCATAAGGAACAATTTGTAAGAAAAGGACTTTTCCTACAGCCGTGCGGAAAAATCGATTTTCCGCACTGATATGCGTGCGGAAAATGAGTTTTCCCGCACGGTGCGGTAAAACTTTTTTTTTTGACATATCAGTGCGGAAAAAGTTTTTCCGCACTGATATGTCAAAAAAAAAAAGAAAAATTTTAGAATTTTTCGCCTGTAGGAAAAACATTGTACCTAACACTTGCGGAAAATATTTTTCGCACTTGTTAGGTAAATAGCTATTCTATCTGTAGGGAAACTGAGAAAAGTCTTTTTCCAATACATTGTTTCTTATGACAAAAACCAAAATAATTTTTTTTCTGGAAAACTGTTAGAGATAAACCTATCGAACTTTATATCATTGAAATCAGAAAAGGCAGAGCTTTCTGATGAGCTATTAATATATAGGGTGTCCTATTGAAAAAAAAAAACCAATTTTGGTCAATATCTCGAAGTTCGGACCAACTAGAAAAAAAATGAGAACGTCACTGAATTCTGCTTGAAAAATTGCTTCTAGAAAGTTTTTACGGAAATCAATAATTTATAATTTTCATCAACAAAAAAGTTATGATGGTTTCACATTATTGCTTAAAATCGAGAATCGCCCTCTAGCGGCTAAACGGTTGAAGATATCAGAATGCGGTTTGCACCAATCAAAATTTCATGAAATTTAAGCCTCAGAGTGGGGGGTTCACTTTTTTGTATCTCGTTCAGAAATTGATGTTTCCTATTGTCCAAATTGGCCCACCCTGTACATTCCAAGTAACCGTAAAGCCCACTAATAATGAAAAAAAATCTGTAATTGAGTTAATAATTAACTGATTCAAGCTCTTTGACTATTCGGGAGCACTTGAATAGCACCCAATTTCTATCCAGAAACATGACTCACCACCAGGTAAACTTGTAACCAGAATCCTTTAATAATGAAAAAAAATCTGTAATTCAGTTGATAATAATTAACCGATTCAATTTTTTCTTCGACTATTTGGGAGCATCTAGAAAGTACCTAATTCTGATAAAAAAGAAAAATTTTAGAAAATATTTTTCACTACTCACTGATAGCTTTCATAAATCTAGCAGTCCCTTAGTTTTTTTTTTTTTTTAATTTTCTCAAAAACTAAAGGACCACCTAATTGTTTTAGAGGCTCTAGATAGCACCTAATTATTATAGAGGGTATACCATTTAAAACGGAACAGGCTAAATATCTAATGTCACTTTTATTTATTTTTTAAATCACTCTTACACGTAATTTGATTGTGTGATGGCCGTTTGCACCGACCATTTTAAGGGAGGCTTGATAAAGATACCTTAAAATGATATTTTTACATGTATAAATGTCACTTTAAGGAACACTTATTGTTGAGCCTCCCTTAAAATTGTCGGTGCAAACGGTCATTGGTATTTTAAACATTTCCAGCACTAACTTAACCCTCTAGGGGGTTTGGGACCAACCCTTACCATTCCAAATGGAACAGGGGGTCGAGTGATACCTGTTAAAATAGTATATTGTGTATTAAGGTGAAAATGTGCTTTTCCACCGAAATACACATACTATTTTTTCTGCGATCGGTTAAATACCTGTTGAATCTTTGTCTTTTGGTTCCAATTATTCAGCAGTACGAGAATCACTTTCCCGGCCTAGGAAGAAATTTCCGGCACTCGGGCGCTTCGCATCCTCGTGCCGGAAATTTCTCTTCCCGCACTCGTTAGGAAAATAGCTATTTTGTCAAATATGACAATCCCTGTCATTGTCGTAGATATAGCTGATGAGCTCGTTTTACAATAGGAAGAACGGGTGTCCCACTTTTTATGTTCACGACTGTACAGGATGGCCCAAATTCGAGTCTCATCATTGGGATAAAAAGTTATACATAGAAAATATGCTAAAAAAAAAACATGTTTGAGTGTAATCCAGGAGATATTCCAGTTTTACTTGGTGAAAAATTATCCAAAAGTATGTCACCAAAAACTGAAATCGAGAAAATGTGCTATGTACTGTAACAAGAACTCGTGGGAAGTCTATTTGCAGCACCAGCACAAGTATCAAGGCCTGATATATCTTACGCTGTCATTAATGTTAGTTGATTTACAGAAAATCCGTGTAATCAGCACTAATTAATTTTTAATTAATTAACGAAGATTCCCTGCCGACAATTTGAAGGGCCGAACTCAGTACGCTTAAGTCGATGGGTTCAAGTCTGCAAAATTTGTTGTAACGTCTGGTGTCCCACAAAGCTTCAACTTGGGACCTTTGTTGTTCAATGTTTTCATCAATGAATTATCGCATGTTATTAGTGTGAGCTTTTTATTAATATGCTGATGACCTCAAGCTTAGTAGCAGTGTGAAGGACATAGATGACTGAGATCCTTTCAGAAAATCTGCACCAATGTTGAAGTATAGTGTTGAGAGAATAATTCGCCTCTTAACCCCATTAAATGCAATGTGGTGAGCATTGTGAGCAATCTTTTGGCTTAAAACAAAAGCTAATTATTTATTTAATTATGCTCTTGGTGGCACCCCTCTAAATCGACTAGAACTTTTACAGATGGGGTGACATCCTTAATTGATACTTATGTAAAATAATGTTATCATTTGAATTCATATAGTTTAGATTTTTCCTATTCTGTAATTGGGTTTTGCCTGTACCTATTGTATTGTTAGATACCTAAATAAATGAATAAACTATAACTCGGCCTGACCTTAGATTTCCAAGTGATTGCACTATTTAAACAGATTTAACAATCAACCAAAAGTAAGTCACTGGAAAATGGCAAAACGTATTTTTCAATACATATTTAAAAGGGACTGGAATAATATACTTTAATGGAGATCCAAAACTTATACCATACACAGATTCTGTCTATAAAGGAGATACATTGACAGGACCTTTGACTAGTAGAGTATATACTTATACTATGTGGTCTACCCATTTCATGGTTCACAGTTTACACAAAACCAATGACTGGTAGCAACCTCTACAGCTGAAGCTGAATATCGAGCTGCTATGATAGATGGCATTTGTTGGATTCAACGTATAGGAAGTGAACTTGATTTTATAAACATCGAGAAACATGAAGACAACTTGAAGGAAAAATTATAGAAGGAAAGAAGCATATTGAAATACCTACCATGGAAATAAGAGCATGTTAATGAAGCAATTATTGAATTAAAACATATTAAAAGTACTGATCAATTGCCTGATATCTTGACCAAATCTCTTAGTTGAAAAGTATCTGATAATTTGAAAGTTAAAGTAATTTTTTCTACAACTGTCAAAAAATGATGATGTTCGCACACTCATGACAGTTTGCGAAGTGACACTTTTTTTCCCAGGTATTGATTTTTTAACGTTCCCATGACGCCGTGCGTGAACTAGCTATTTCGTACACCAGTGCGCGAAATAGCTAGTTCGCACACTGGGTGTCATGGTGACATATACCTGTCAGGAAACCAACATAATTAAAATTCACTTACAATTTGCAGTTTTAGCTTCGAATGATCGATATTTAAATGAAGTTGTAGAAAAAAATATTGTTTGCAACTCAGGCGCAAAAAAAATCAGATCTCAATCACCAAAGTAGCATTTCGCACACTAGATACAAAAATAACTATTAAGGAGGAGTGTTGATTTAATTATTTCGATAATAAGAAAAGTACCAAAATATTAAAGACTTGTGAGAAACTATATTCACATCAGTAGGTCAACTAAGTCATATGTCATGCTACTCTTTAACCAACTTGTCTTGTCATGCCTGTCATTGTTGTGCTGCAGAACCTTCTTGTATTTGTAATGATTATCGTCTGTGTTGTGTGTCTTGCCTAATTATTATAAACAATAGTCTGATGTATTATCAAGAAAGGTTATTTTGTTCTGAGCAGTCAGTATTGTCTGTATTAGTAATTATTAGTAGTATTGCAAAGAAAAAAAGTTCAACAGCCAATTAAATTTTGTTATTTTTGATGATGTGACACAAATCACCCAATCATTTCGACATTATACTGAAAACTGGGCTGTTCTCACTCTTTCATGTTGCTTTCAAATAATTTTCTATCGGAATAACCCTTGAACATTGATAAAAATTGCATGACAACTTTTTCAAGCTTGTTGCTTAGTTATAGGCAACTGTTTCCAAGCATATTTTAATTTAAGTTAAAAAAAACTGAACCATAATATTTGATCTTTTTTTCTAGACAAAGAATGGTCAGACATCCGTCGCTGCGACTACAACGGCCTCTACTACTGCTCGGCCTGCCATTGGAACAGCTCGGCAATAATTCCGGCTCGAGTCATCCACAATTGGGACTTGGACCCTCGTTCCGTTTCGCAATCGAGCCTCCAGATACTGAAAGTCACAGCCGACCGGCCTCTGATAAACTTGGAAAAGCTAAACCCGCAGCTTTTCACACGAATCCAGGAACTGAATTTGGTTAAAAGGCTGCGCAAAGAACTTCAAGGCATTCGGAAATATTTACTGGTTTGCAGGCGGGCGAACGAAGAGCATTTGATTTGGAAATGCGATAGGCCTCATTTAATAGAAAACCTGGACATGTACAGTTTACAAGATTTGGTCGATACGCATTCCGGTGATTTACCTTCGAAATTGCACAATTTTGTTGATATTTATACGAAACACATCAAAGTAGATTGCGAAGTTTGCAAAGGCCGAGGGCACATTTGTGAGGTATGCAAAAACGAGGAAGTCTTGTTCCCTTTTGTCATTTCCGCGTTTGTTTGTCAAAATTGTAAAGCGGTGTTTCATAAAAGTTGTATGGAGAGGAAGAATAATGAGTGTCCGCGATGTTTGAGGATTAGAAAAAGATTTGAAAGTGAACTTGAATCAATTAATGATGAAGATAAGTAGTTTGAGGTACTTTTTGAAACAAGTTTCTGCCAATTTCAGCAAACAACTGCATGTGGCAACGTCAAAATATTGCAGAAGAGTTTTGATTTAAACTGTTGCCAAACTTTCAATGTTTTCTTCAAATTGGTGAGTTTTTAAAAACAAATTGCTAGCATTTTATATACATATTTCTGACGTAACGTTTTCTTTTGATGATTATGCGTGGCAAGATTGATTTTATTTATTTTCAAGAGGTTGAAACATGGATAGACCTATAATGTGCAATTTTTTTAATTAGATTTATTATTTATTAATAATCAGTATTGGTTTGTTGTTAGGGTATTATTACTAATTGGAAAATGGGGAAATATCAAACATTTTCAATGGCATACTAATTGTGATAATGTATATTAAATTGAAACTAAAAGAAATATTTTGTGTTTTATTTCCTCATCTCGTGTATTTGCTGAATGTTGTCTTGCCTGACTGTAAATATCCTAAGTCAATCTGATATGAGAAAATTAGAAAGATACATTTTAAAAAATCGCAAGTGACTACTTGTTCTGCCTCACATCCTCCCTATTTATTTTTTCCCTCTTGAATTGTTTCTGTTTCAGTTTTGCCCTAACTTCGTTCTCTTTATTTATTTATAAGAACTTTTTCCATAACTTGTTAGTTTTTTCTATTAGCAATTAGCATTGCAGCCTTTCTAGTATTTTTGATCTCTTTTTACTTAATTCCGGGTTCGCAACTTTCTTCCAATTTTCTATTTGTAAGATTTTTTTCTCCATTTTCTTCTCACCAACTGTCTTTCGATCTTCTATATTTCCAAGATCAACTCTTTAACTTATTTTTTGCTATTCTTCTTCATCTTTAAGTAAGTACCTATATATTTCCTTCGCCACAACTATTTATAAGCACTTGGTTGCTTTTATCCAACTTTTTTCGGGCTTTTATTTCTTTTTCTCATTTCCTTATCTACACAACCTCTTCTATTTTTTCTCCTTTGTCGCCTCCAGAATTTCCATTTTTAAATTTTTTAGTTTTAATTCAATTAACCTATTTAAACTAATATGTATAACAATTTTCATACTATCCTTATTTATCACGATACAAATCATTATTTTTTATTTATTTTTTTCATAAAATATGACTGCCTTTATCCCGAAAATGGTAAAAGATAAGAATCAAAAAATCAAATAAAATACAGAGTGTCTCATTTAGAAATTTCAAGTTGAGAGCTGTGGACCGCTTCTGTGGACCCTATATAAATAATACTACCAACCAATGACATCACATTACATTTCACTATAGACCGGCCCCTAACGGCAATTTATTGACTCTAGTGCAGTGCGATAACGATAGAGCGAATAGACTTGTTCAGTGAAATTTTATTAACCACGTTTTTTCACATTTTTATGGAGTATGTATTACTCACATATAACACACAAAAAAATTCCAGCCTAAGTGGATACATATTGAAAACGTCAGGCGTCTTTGAATATATATGAAGGCATAAAAATATTCAATAATCTTCCTCAGGAAACAAGGAATATTAGAGAGTACAGAGCATTTCGTACTAGTGTGAAAAATTTCCTTATAACAAAAACATTTTACAGCCTTCAAGAATATTACGGCCAAATTAAGTGTGGCTGTTTACTGCGGTCTGCGTGGTTTTAATTGTGGGTACTTTTCAAAAACTTAATTGTTTTTGGTTGTTTTATTTGTTGATTTTATTCTGTTTTGTTTATTTTTTGAGACATTTTTTAGTTTTTTAGTATTATATTACTCTGCTGCTTTCAGCTTTGACCTTTTTAACCTTTTTTAACTTTTTAAACTTTTTATTTTTTCTATTTTATTGCAATAGTTACTAAGCCCTAATATATCTTTGAGTGATTTATTTGTTTTTATATTAAAATTATCATTAGCTAGGGGGTTACCGATGTTGCCGATGTTGTTCTATTGATAATAACTAGTTTAATAGTAGATATACTTTTTTATGTAGGTATTTTATACCTGTTTGTTTCTTCTTTTGTGTATTAAGTACGTAAGAGTGATGTGAGGTATACAAACCAAATTTAGAATTCCCAAAAAATTATCAAAAAAGTTGTAAATACTGCAAAAAAAAAAAGTCGTTGCTTCACTTGATTGTGAAACTTGTGGTGCCAGCTTCCACCCCAGTTGTGGAATACAAGCAGGAGCAGCAAATAAAGACAATATTGTTACATGCTGCCGGAAGTCGGAAGAGGACAAAAAGTAAGGCTAAAAGCGACGACATGGACGAAACGCAAATGAAAAATCTACTCGGAAAGATGTTCAAGGAACATCTAAGCTCCTTCAAAAAAACTATGGAGAATGAGCTAAGTGAGATGAAAAAATCAATGAAATTCATGTCGGATTGTTTTGACGAACAAACGTTGGAAATGAGAAAAATATTGAAAGAAATAAAGCAGCTACGAGATGAAAATCTTGCATTGAAACAAAGACTAAACATGGTAGAAAACAAAATAAACATTATTGAACAAAACAAAAAAGAACCAAACTTGGTAGTGGCCGGAATACCCAAACAGAAAGAACAACCCAAGAAATGCATCGAAAAAGTGCTTGAGACATTAAAGATACAAGTGAATGATGATAGCATAAGGGAGGTATATAGAGTGTCAACAAAAGAGGATGCACCTCTGCTACTTAAGTTACGAGATGTGGAAACAAAACAAAAAATTCTAGAACAAGTCAAACACCTACGTGGAGTTAAGCTTAATGAGTGTGGACTACAAGGTGGGAACAAAAATATATTTTTTAATGAGGACCTGACCAGCAAAAATCAGCTTCTTTTCAAAAAGGCAAGGAGCTGAAGAAACAAAACATTGTGAAGGCAGTATTTGTGAGAAACGGTAAAATATATTTGAAGAAAGGTGAAAATGATAGGGCAAGCCAAGTAAAACTGGAAACTGACCTGGAGCGGTATGTAAATTAATTGTTGTAAGTACCTAATACTATTGTATATAAAAACTACCTCATAAATACTGCCTAAAAAACCTGAATTAGAATATGTAAATATACTGTACATTAATATAAGAAGCCTGAGAAACAAACTGGATGAATTAAATGAAATCTTGGCAGATAATACATATAAAAAAACACACATTTTAGTCCTAACAGAGACTTGGCTCTATAATAGTGAAACAACATTTTTTGAAATAGACAGTTTCAGTGCAGTCCATGATTGTAGAGATACAAGAGGGGGAGGCACTAGCATTTACATAAAAAGCAACTTAAATTACATAACAAAGGATATTTCATTTGTCAACCTGGATGAGTGCAATATACTTGCTGTAACTTTGACATCATTTGGATGCACACTATGGAGCATATACAGACCTCCAACTAGTAGTGTCCCAGTTTTTCTTGAAGAAATGGACAAATTGATGGAAAGTGAGAAGAATCAATGCTTGATAATTGGTGACATGAACTTGAACTTATTACAAGAATCTCACATTATAAGTGAATACAGAAATATAATTACAATGAACGCATTTGAAATAAAAAATGAAATAACTATGAACAACGCAACTAGAACGGCATCACGAAGCAGCTCAATATTAGACTATGTACTTGCAAATAAAAACCTTCAGTGTCAAATAACGTTATATGATCATATGATCTCTGATCATAAAATAATGACAATAAACATGAATAATAGAGTTGAAAAACATAAGAAAGAAAAGAAAAGAAAAATAAAATTGGATGAAGAGAAGTGGATAGAGACGGTGAAAAACCATTTACAAGGCCAACCTCAACCTGCTACAATCTCCTTTGCTAAAATGGCTGAAATTATTGAGATTTCAAAGAACCAATGTTCTAAACAATACACCATCAAAATAAGACCTGGAAATGAATGGATAACACCAGGATTTTTTAAAGATGATAAAAAAAGAGATGATATGTATGTGAGATGGAAGAGACTCCAAAATGAATATACAGAAAATGAGTTTAAGAAAATGAAGAACAAGGTAAATAACACCAGAAAGAAATTACAAAAAACACATGCTGAAAAAAAACTGAAGGAAGCAAATGGGGATTCCAAAAAAACATGGAAAGTGCTAAATGACTTCTGTGGAAAAAAGAAGAAAAATAAGTGTGAAATAAAACAAATCACAAAAAATGATAAACAAAAAATTCATGATCCCACAGAAGTTGTTCAAGAAATAAACAATCATTTTGCGACTGTTGGTAAAAAATTAGCAACAAACATTAAGAAACCACGAACTGTGACATTCCAAGAAGAAGAAATAGAAAATAGTATTTTGATATTTCGTCTCCGTTTTTCTCATAGAAAGAATTTTCTGATTTTCGTAAAATTTTGTAAATTTACTTAAGAAACGATGCTTAATAATTTGATGATTGTTAAACAGGATTTTTTTATTTTGTGAACATCCCTATTGTACTTCTAAAATATTGGAAGTTAGGGAAAGTTACATAATACAGGGTGTCTCAGCCGAGAGTGACCCATTTCAAATGCTTATAACTTTTAAACCAGGTGTGCTAGCTATCTGAGGTTTGCGCCATTCGATTTCTCTTGGCCTAAAGTTTTTTTCTAGTTGGTTGCAATTTTTTTTGATGCCCATTAAGAGCCAGTAAAAAAATCCGTTTTTCAACATCGAAATTCTTCACTATTTTCAATGGAACTGTATATCACGTCAAAAAAAATCATGTTAAAGGTATCCATGTACCAATAAAACCGTAAAAAAATTGAAATTGCAGTCCTGGTATTTTTGCAAATTCATGCAGCTTCATGTTGTAGGTACTTGCTATCACTATGGCAAACAATTTTGTAACAGTCAAGTTAGATATCAACTAAGTTGAAATACATTTGTTCTACTTGCGTGCGCAAAGTTAATACATACTTTGCACACTCAAGTTGAACTTTGCGCACTCATTTTTGTTATGCATAGTTACCGCATTTATACTCTATTTTTCAATATTTTGTGGGTTTCTGGATAAACTTACATTCAGAAAGAAGGTCCTGATGTAATTTTTGTTCCAAGAAAGGTATTCAGGTAATGTTCATATTCTTTAATTTGACACTTTCCTTATGATGAGCGAGGGGAGGGAAAACCCAGCAAAAACAGATGTGAGGTCAGGTGGAGTCCATGGAGAGCCACTAACTCACATTCCTTTTTATCATATCATAAAAGTTGGACTGTAAGTTATACTTTTCCATACCAAAATTTGGCAGAAAAAACAAACTCAACGACTTGTTCAAATTTTAAGCAAACCGCACTAGCACAACCAATGTTGCAATTGCAAATAAAGTCAAACTGATCACTGAAAAAAAAAAAAAATTGAAAACACCACTCATTGAATTAGGAGAGAAAATTTTGAGCATCTGGAAACATTTAAGAAGATTAAGTTCAGCTCCTCTGGATGCAAATCTTCAAACACTCGCCGAAAAATCATTGTTCCTAACACTTGTACAAAGTGTCTTTCCCGCACTCAAAGCTTATCCGAACTCCGCTTCGCGTCGTTCGTTTAACTGCTTTTTCGTGCAGGAAAGTATCCCTTTGCGCACTTGTTAGAAAAATAACTATTC